GTTTCCTAATTCATGTATATATTTCAAATATTTGTGTGTTTATCACTAATGACCAATAAACATAATTCATTACATGCTAAAAATGCTCATCTCTAATAATTTCAAACTTTAAAGAGTAAATTCACTTTGGGTCTAGAAAATAGCCATTCCTATAAAACACTGCAGAAAGTATGACTTTCCCTCAGAATCTACACTATAAGAGCAAGCTTAACTAATGAAGTTCAAAGTCATGTTCAAAAACTTGCCTCCTCCCATATAAAAGGAAAGAACCTTTACTGTATTTCTTCTGTCATCCTGGAATAAATTATTTTCTTCCCACAAAAGAAAGAAGTCTGTATACTGGCAAAGGCAACCAAAAGAAAGCCTCTCATGCTGCCTCACATAATTGAAAACCCTTGCCTCTTTTACAGTCAGAACAAAGTTAACACTTTAAGAAAAATGTGTCCATAGCATCAAGCATTACCTGTACCTTATTTTCTGAAAGCAACTAGTTATTCATAATAAGCCCTCAAACTTTAAGATTTTTAGAATAACTAAAGGTTAGTTATTATATATGGGTATAAAATACAGTATAAAAATCAAAGTAAGAGTGATTGCTTTAGCTTTTTAACCGTCTCCTTGAGCAATAATAAAACCAACAAAGTTCCCTAATTACGAAGTAGTCTTGGGCTTACTCTAAATCCATACCTCTAAATATGGAATTCTCAAAAGAGGGGACTGGCCAAGATTCATTATAATGATAAGACGGAAGTATAAAATACCGAAAATATGCTTTATAAATTGAGGACTTCAATTTACATTAAACAATTTTTTAAAACGTAAGTTAACTTATTCTAGGTTTACTGTATCTTTGCTCAGTGAGAACTATTTCATACCACATAAAAATAAAGAAAATTCCAGTCGAGTTCTGATTCCAAAGGGAAAAAAAATACTTGGAAGGCACAAAATAACCAAGGTAAAGCTCAAAGTCATATTTCCCTTTATGGGGCAATCTGCATAGTATTATAAAATTTTGCTTTTACAAAACTGTAAAACTGAAGGCTCAAGGTCACTGGAAAAATCAAAACAAAATAAAAAACAATTTATTGAAGATTTCAGTATTTTCTCTAAGTCTCTTGAAATATAAAGAGCAAACTTTTGAATAATGTATTATAAAAGATCACAATTTAAACATAATTTAAATCTAAAAGAAAAATATAAATAATCTAGTTATTCTGTCAAACGAAATTACTCCGATATTTGTACCCTGACTTTCTCAATCTAACTAAAACATTCCTGCATCACTATGCAAGTTACCTACTCAGGCTTTTTGAAAAGTCTAAGAAAGCTCAAGTTACCCCAGCTAATAGGAGCCAAAATATGAACTACTTCTTCTGTGCAGCTGTAAGCAGACTAAATCATTCATAAATCAGTCTTTACTGATCACAATGGCAACAACAACCACACTAGCCAGACAGTCTTCAAGAGTCAGGACATACTTTTAAAGTAACAGGAGCTTTAAACTACAGACCCTGGAAACAGACTTCTTGGAACCACATTATCCTTAAATAAATAAACCTCAACTGAATGAAGTAAATTTACAGATAGCCCTAAGAAATACACAGGCCTACTCAAGAGTTCCCAAAATGACCCATGGTAAATGTTGCCTCCTGCTTGTATTCATTTAATTCTCCCCAGAGAGCATGTTTATCCCGGCCCCAAGCTTTACCCTCATAAATCATTTTGCTTGGTTCACAGAAGGGTAAGTGAAGTATTTGCTTTGTATACTACATATCTACTTGGTAGTCCGTAAATATTTAATAACAATACTCAACTGATTATGCAGATCAAGCATTTACAGTGCAGCAAATTACAACACAAGATGATGACCAGGATGTGATAAAATTCCCAACAGTGGCCAGTTCTATCACAGGGCTTTCTTAATCCATGTTAGGGAAGATGATGCAAGGTGGCAACTCAGGGCAATGTTGATTTTTAGCTGCCCTATTTATACCAGGTTTTTTTGTTTTATTTTGTTTTGTTTTTACAAATCATACGAATGAGAAACGATTTTAAAGCAACAGTACATGAATCTCTGGAATGCATTCCCACTTGATTCCTACTCTTCCCTTCTCAGTAGCATGGAAAAGCTGAAGGGTCTTTGTCAAACCACTCACAGACGTTCATTTTTACTGCCCTCACCAGCGCCCATTTCACCTGTGAGGCAAAAGAAATTTGAACAAATCAGCATTCCTTCAACCTATTCTGCCACTACCAAAGTGTCAGTGGGAAAAAGTAAGAAAGATAATCTAAGGTGGGAAGAAAAGGGGACCAGTGTAATAGTGCCCGAGGGTTCAAAAGGCTCCCTAGACTGCTACTCGGAATGTCTAAAGTCAGTTAGGAGAAGGCAGTATTTCTGAAGTAGAAGCTGTTGCTTTATTTTACTGAATTATAGCTTCAGCAGAGCCAGTTCACAGCATGCTACACCCCTTCTCCGTGTGCCTTTCTGGTTAACTGGCAGTACAGTGACTAATCACTGATACTTCTGGTTAACCTTCACTTTTTGGTTACTACCTGATTATACCTAAGAATCAGTCAAGACAGGAATTTCACCCATGGCTGTCCTCTTACTTGCATCACCCTGTCCCTATCCTAAGGTAGCTACACTTACCAGCGAAGAGAGAAGCATTAAAGGAACAGAGTGGATCCTCCACAAAGCTTTGGAAAACCTACATTATAATATATTGTACTCATCTCAGCTATGCTAAGTATGTGACTACTACAGCCATTACGACACAACCCCAGTAAAACCAAAGTACTACCTTTTGAGATGTAGACTGGCATATTTTTATTAGAAAACTGTAAGATAGTATGTATGTATGATCTTATTCAAAACTAAGCTATGATAAAATCAAATGAAATGAAATATTAAAACTAAAATTCAAAATAATTTTTAAAAGATAAAAAAGCTGAATAATTCTAATTTCAAAATGCTTTCTTAAGACACTTTCAGTAATGTTAAACATGGAAGTAAAAGTCAGTGTGTACTTGTATAAGTGAAAAATAGACCTTGAATTCTAACACAAAAACATCTAGTTTCCTTATAGAATAAACTGAGAGACTTAAAAGGAGCTAACATGACTATTTTTTTTAAAATGGCCATACAACCATGATGGTGGCATACACCTGTAATTCCTGCACTTGAGAAGTAGAGGCAGGAGGAGCACTGCAAGTTCAAGGGCAGCCTGGCTACCCAGTGAACTTCAGGCCTACACAACTAAACTCTTGTCTCAAAAAGAACTCAAATAACAAATGGCCACACCCTATTGATATATGTGCTATTTTTCCTAAATTACGGTTCTGCTGTATTATCAGGATGAAGCCATCACTACACAAAACACTTACCAGGAGTCATCATTATTATTAGGACTACGAGATGGCCAAAGGCTTTAAAAGAGAAAAAAAAAAAAAAAAAAAAAAAAAAAAAAAGATGTTCTGCTTATAAGGACTAATGTGGGAGGTTTTTCAGCCTCTTCCTCTTGCAGATGGCATTCCAAACAGATAACTCAAAATATCCTGTATAGTCTACCTACATAGTTCAGGCTGGCCCTGAACTCCTTCGTCAGAAAGCCCAAATTGGCCTCAAACTGGTGGTGATTTTCCTGCCTCAGCCTCCTGAGTCCTGGAAATACAGGTGTGCACCTCCCTGACTGGCATTTAAGAATCTCTAGTCTCAGTGGATTTCTACTCCCAACTGTAGTGGTAAATTGATTGTGTCAACCTGAGACATTTAAAAACTTAACCCACCCTAGGGTGGCTCGTCACCTGGAGGTATAAAAGGGAAGGGGAAAGGACAAATGCATTCCATTCTTTGGAAAAGCTCCAGCCTTCGACTTTCCACTGGGACATCGTCTCCTTCCAGTATAGACTTTTCAGCTTTCTGGCATAGACTCTTCAGCCTCCCATCATAGATCCTTCGGCCTCCTGCCACAGACCCATTAGCCAGCATGCATGCTTTCTCATCCGACTCTGTGGCTGACCATTGTAAGCCAACCTTGTCATTTCTTATACATTTGTGCATCCCATGTTATATCTGTTTTCTCTACTAAAACCCTAATACACCAACTATGGTCTTATCCTTTCTCTTTATTCCTACGCTTATTTTTAACTTCCACATGGCAATAAGATTCATCCCAAATATTACTTGGTTCAATGTTTTTTCATTTAGCTTTGAAAGATGCACTGACAGAAGTCTGACCATAATGCTACCTTTATATCCGAGAGAAGTACAATTTTAGTCTGCCTAATTACTAAACTCTGACTCAAACAAAAATTGTTGTATGTGAATTTTAGTGATTAACAACAGGAACGAAGACCAAAAATTTCAAACTTGGAGCCACTAAATTGCCATAAAGTTTTTAACTTTTATATATGACATGATGTCACATAGATTGTCCCTAATAAACATAAAATCATTAGTTCATACAGTTTCCACTGCCAAAAATGCCTGTCCTCTGGAAGTTGTAGTTACTTGTACAACCAATATCAAATTCACTCCTCAACACAACAAAAAGTCACTATTACCTCGAACCTTATCACCCTTTATACACACGCGCGCGCACACACAGTTTTTCTCTTCTGTGCACCACAGTACTTTTTGCAGACTGTTCTTGTCACATAACACTATGGTGAACTGTTTACATGCCTGTCTGTTTCAGTGGACAGTAAGCTGTTTTATTCATCTTTGTGTCCCCAGTACCTACCAGGACCAGGCACATGGTTGGCACGCATTAAATGTTCAGTGAATTGAACTGCACAGAATAGAAAATTTCTCATTCACTCGCCCAACATAGCTTTAGACCAAAATACTCCAAACATTCATTCTGAGTTATATTTTTGGATGGCAAAAGCAAACATCAATCACCGTATAAATTCAGTTCTTAGATGTGTGTGTAAAGCATTTAAAAAGCATTTTTAAAAGAATTCTTTATGCTGACAATTTAGCTCAACAGCAAAAGTACCTGCTTGGAAGCATGAGGTCTTGAGTTCAATCCCAGGAACCATATTTTAAAAAAATCTTCATACTTCTTACATTTGTGGAGACCAAAAAACGTAAACTGAATGTCTTCAAATCTCTAATGCTCTGCTAATTAATTATTCTGATAATCAGAACAGTCTTTCTCCTATTTGGGAAGGGAGAAAGGGTTGATCATTTGAAAATGTTCACTGCTTCCTATTTTATTATCTATTCTCCAACTATATAAAGTTAGTACTTCACTCAGATTCAACAATATCCCTTTCTTACCACAATGAATAGCACTTACGTGAATGTCATTTTTCTATTTTGCAAAAAATCTGAAAAGAGATCTGGGCCTCATGCCAAAGTGTTGTCAATTTTTCAAACAAGATTACCCTACCAAATCAGTCATCTTTTTTCTTCGATTAGCAGAGAGATTAAAATAGAATTACACTTTAAAATGTGAGCTCCACCTTTTAAAACTGCTAAGCCTTTTATGTCCTTATTATACATTGGGATTTTTTTATTATCTCTTCCTAACATTAAAATCTGTTGCATCGTTTCCTGCCCCAAGGATCTTTTTCATATTCTCGTATTTCCTGATTTGTCAGCAATTATTGAAATTAGCAGAATAAAATGCTAAGTCATGATTTGCATTTCAAGCATACTCCTAGCAATTCATGTTAAGTAGAAAGGACACCTGAACTTTATGTTAGCTACAATTAACTATATTATATCACTATGAAAAAAAAACCCAACTCCAAGAAAATACAACTTTTTAAACATCACTGATATGGATCTTCTTAAATTAAGACTACCATATAGGAAAAACAGCTTGGTCTCATTGTTGTGTCATAAAGAGTAAATATATGTCATTCCTAGTATATGCACACATATCCTAAAATAAGTAATTAAAAATGCTCTTAATGTCCTATTAATGGTAGTACAAAACTGGTAACAACCCAAATATCCACCAACAGTATGATGAATAAACAAAAGTATAGTAGAGGTATAAAATAAATGCTTATACAGAGATGGTATACTATAAACAATAGATTAATAACATAATGTTGAATAAAGGAATAGCACCAAGAACACACAGAATATAATTCGTAACTATCTGTTCAATTGAGGACATGTTTTATCTACCTTTCTGAAGTATTTTACATTTCAGAATATAAAAGCTAGCCTAAACACTTTAGCCTCATAAAATCTTTCACTTGTAGCATTTGTAGGTGCACCAGACTCCAAACTGCTTGAGAGTGGAGATTGATTTTATTTATTTTGGGGTTCCAAGAACAACACAGCAAATGCTCAGCAAATATGGACTAGTTGATAGATGAATGAGTTATGAGCAAAGGAAAATCTCAATCTGCAAATGAATCTTGATGAGGCAGAATGTAAGTCACTTACCTTTCCCTATATACAAGTAAACACCACGTTTTGAAAGTCAATCCCACATTTCAACTAGTTAAATACATTCTCAAATGCCTGTTTCTAATAAACTGCTCTATTGGAATGCAGGACAGTTTTAGTATGTATTCTCTCAAAAGTGTCTGCTGAGCTCAGTTCAATGCCAAATTCTGCTTTTCCCTATTGCAATAAGGCTGCCAGACTCCTGGTTCTCTAACTATATTAATAATTACTTAATTTAAAAGCAAAAACACATGTGCAACCGTCTTTATGAATTTATTCCCAAGAGCTCTAAAATGTTTCTCCATTAAAAAGCACATCTCTACACATCCTGCTGTTCTTGGGAGTTGGAATGCTTAGCCTCCTCCCAGTTCCCTATCAGTCTCCTATGGACCATAGGTTGAAATTAGCTATTCATTACATGTGAAGGAATGCTGGTTAGAGCCAAGCCCTGCAGAGAAAGAGTGCTATTTTACATGTCAATTTCGGTACCAAAGCATCTGCTACTTTACTAATATGTATATTTAATGTCTCTGTATAAGGTACAGAATTATATGCTATTCATTGTTTGTTCTCATACTACATATTCAAGCAGCAGTATTCTAAATTATTTCCTTTGAAAAACTTGCACACTTTTTTGGTCTCTTTTCTGTTGTTGGCTATAACAGAGCATAAATGTATACAGTACAAAATATTAAACATCAAAAATCATAAAAAACAAACAAACATGGTGTCTGGCCTGCAATTATTAATGCAATTTATTTTTTATTCTACACTCATTATTTTTGAATATAGTTTTACATTAGGTTGCTATGAGACAAGGAATAAATGCAAAAGACTCGTTAAATTTTTGACTGCTGCTGCTAAGTCGAGAACACTAAAATTGTTCTGGAAAATCTGTACACTTTTTAAAAGTCATATTTCTAACATGTCTATCTTTATCAACAATACATTCCACATTGAAAGTGTAAATTTTCTGTATGAATTGCAGCAATGCTCACCACTAACTGAGCAACTGAATGCGGGGAGGGGATACAGTAAGGCGAATTTGAGTAGTACTGTCCTCTGGTATCAGTAATACTAATAATACTTCACACTAATAACGAAACAAAATGTTCAATAAGTAACAATCACCCTGGCTGAGGACATTTATGTGTCTTCAGTCCCAACAACTGGGAGAGGTTGGGGCAGAAAGACTGCTTGAATCCATGAGTTTGAGGCCAGCATGACCAACATAGTAAGAAATCATCTCTCTCTGCCACCAACATCTACCCCCCAAAAAGGCAGTATTAAATTTAGAATCCTAAACAGTACTAGATTTCAATAAAAATGTAATGCTTGTGTTAATAGGATTTAAAGTGCAAAAAAAAAAAAAAAAAAAAAAGCCTTAAAGTGCCACAGTGGTACAATAATCTAAATTGGTCTACTACAGTTAGTACCACTATAATTAATAAGTTGTTCAGGTAAATACATTGGGTTATCTGGCTTTAAAAATTGTCCACATTTGTTAGTAAATACTCCCCTCTTTAGTTCTAGGAGATTACAGATGGATTTTACTTTTATGCAGCCTAATGCTAGACATAGGTTTATTAGTATGCTATTCATAGATAGATCAGTAACCAGCTCAGGTGCCCACAAAGAATGATTAGCACTGTTACCATTTGGCTTTTACTCAAAAAGGCCAAAACACAAAGCACAAAGCCTAAAACTTCAGTAACACACTTTAAAAACACTCATTTGGTTTCGTTCCTGCCCCCCCCCAGATGCAGAAGTTCAGGGTCCAGTACACCAAGGAAACAATTCCACAAGTGCCATGTTCAGTAGCATCAATTCCACATTATACTTTAAAGTACACAGGCAATCCTATGGTGCTGAAGCAACCCTAGTTCCTATACTTATCCTCCTCTGAGTGATAGGGTCCTTCTGCCTGGTTTTCACCTGACTTTAAAACAGCTAAGGTAATCCAGACTGTGTGCGCCTTCAGGCAAGTACTTAAGACTCATTTAGCCTTCACCTTCCCTCACCTTCGAGGACAGGCAAGGCAAGGTATGATGGATTCTAGGTGAACAGACAAAATCTATGTGAAATGATATAAGCAACAGAGGAGGATGCCGGCTGATGTAATCAAATCAGCACGACTATTATAGGAGATCGGTTACACTGTTAATGTATTCATGAACAGAATTAGCTCTATTTCTGAGGAGCAAGAATCCATTCAGGTTCCCCTACTTTCTAGCACTTTATCACAACTGCAAGTTTGAATTTTTCATACACTCAACACTTAGCTTTCCAGTAAAAGGAGGCCCCAGAAGATGAGGGTCATCCATCCTAGCACAATGCCTAATCTTTAGTAATGATTCAATAATTGTTTGTTGTAAAAACCTGTGAGCATGACTGAGAATGAGCTGGTAGGAACTACCATACAAACCCACTTAAGTACAAACTTTATAACTACACCAGAGAAGCGAAACATAAATAAGAATTCTATGAGTAAGCTAGCTTAGTCTCATATCAGGGTCTGCAGAACACAGCAAGGTTTATGTGCTTAATGAATAGCGTGGTATGTAACTACCGAAGTTCTTACTTAACTATACAATACAATCAAGAGAAAAAACTAAACTGGAGAAAATATTCTTCAACATTATCAATCTGTAAATTTAACACTTATGATAACTACTACTTACTATTTAGTTAAAGCACAGGTGATGCCTACACTGTACCAACTCTTCATTTGGTGCCAATTATTAGCCTAACTTTTATAAATATAATAAATTGCTCATATTCAATAGCAGCTTTTTTAATTTCCAGGGCTTGAACCTAGAGCTTTGTACATGCTATGCAAGTACTCTCCCCCTGAGCTACATCCCTAGTTCCTAATATCCATTCTAGACTACACAGCAGATGTAATTTTTAATAGGCAATGCTTCACTTTAATCATATTTCAAAAATAAAAAGCAAAACTAAGTTCTTTGTCATTTAAAACCACCACAAACAACCTTAGAAAATATAATAAATCAGCTTCCTATTTAATCAACAATGATTTTAAAATGTAATCCTTAACAGTTGTTTAAAATATGCATAACTAGGTTTGGAATAGTTATTCTGATTTAAAGCAAAAGCACATCTGTTTATGAGTAAGTAAATATAGTCTGACAGCAATTTGGAATATCTATCAGAAGGAATCAACTGCAAGCTTAATAAGCATTATTTGTATTCTACATAATTCTCTATTTGTTCTTTGTAGCCACTGCAGTAATAAAACACACTCAAACTCATTTAGTGTGTACTAAATCCAGGGTACCTAGGCAAAACATTGAAAATTCCATTTGGATGGTTCCCAGCCCTAACAGCCTAACTTTTAAAAGTATTACTACCATCTGGCTACTTGTCTGTGTTTACCAAAACAGTAGCTGTGCACACATTTCTGCAGCAGCTGTGGTCAAAAACTTTAAATAAATCCATTTGGTTAAATGAAAACTCTTGAAAGGAAAAATAAATACAGTATTTTGAATATATACTTAAAATAAATTCTATTACTGGCTTTAATATCAATTTCTAAAGACAAAAGTAAGATTTTACGTTGTATTTGAAACATCTTTATGCTTCCAATCATTTATCAAGTAAGTGACAGAAGATCCATAGATGTCAAATGGTTTGCCCAAGGTCTGACAGCTAGTAGCTGGCCTTTGTCCAGAACATAGGTATTTTCTGATTTCCAATACAAGAGCCTTTTCATGAGATCCTTGCATGTGAATACTGGGTTCCTAGAAATTGAAATGCGCCATGGGAATATAGCATTTAATAAATGCAGGTTAAAAATACTTAAGAGCATGTATCATTTCTATCAAATAGCACTTCCTAAATTATAAAACTTAATTTGTATTTTGTAACTGTGCTAAATTTAAAGCATTGTAAGAAACTTATAAGAACTTGAATTTGACAAACATTTTTCTTTTGTTTTCAAATTCCTTCCTAGCCCTTTCCATAAAAACTAAGTCTACAGGGATGAGACTGTAGCACAGTGGTAGAGTATTAATTCCAAGAATCAAAAAACTAAGTCTATGAACCAATTCTATTTTTGTGGCTAAGAGGCTAAGCTGCTTCTTCAGGTCTAGTGTTAATTTCTTATACACAATAGCTAAATGCCATAATGCAAACTTTCTTCTAACCAAAAAGTCTTTCCTAATTAGAACTATCAAACTTTTAAATGCTCTTTCCTAAAAATCAAACCTAACCCCAAATATAAATTAAGAGACATTTCCTGTGCTTTAAGAGAGGTAAATATAAGGTAGTAAGCCAAATGTGTCCTACATAAATCTTATTAGAAATTTCTCTAACCAAGTTTTTAAAAAACACATTTTCAGGACATAGTGGGGACAAGCTTATCTGTGTTAAGGTGTCATTATCCTTAAATTGACCAAAATGAAGTCAGTTTCCTTCTTGCTTCCTTTCTTATGCTTTCCAAGAAGAAAAAATAAACTAACAACCCATCAACACTAAGTACATGTTCCACTATTCTACAAGGAGTACTACATTTTCAGAGAAAACATTTGACACTAAATTATCTGGCAGTGAAAGTATGGTGGGGATGGTTAGTACTCAATAGGTGAACTCTGTTTTGTTGGTTTCCAGGTGCCTAGAAATTTATCTGAGAGCATGAGAACTCAATGGAAAAACCCAACCTCAAAACTCTTACATACTTGTTTACATTATGCATGGGAAAATAAATGTCAATGCCAGTAGAAAATATCTATAACACACTGGGGGATTAACATCACAATTATTGAGACAAATGAACAAAGAGGTACGCAGAACATCCACAATCTCACAGTTGTTAGTGGAATTATTTCCACCTTACATAAAGAAATCCATGGAAGTTAGATCATACATCAGAGCCCAAGGATAGTTAAGGCAACTGTAAAGTTGTGGTGAGTCAAGTCTTTTTGGTACTCAGTCCAGTGGTCATTCCATATCACCACCCCAGTTTATGTTAGTGGTTTCAAGTAATATTCAGTAATGATAGTAATAATAATACAAAGCTATGGGCAGTGCTTTACTCTGCTTACCTACTATTTTTGCTCTTCCTCTAACTCCTATGAACTTGGTGTCTCAAGCACTGTCGCATAGGTGCTCAGGATTCTATTAAACTACTTGTACATATTAGCACAGACCGAAGACTAATTTAATGTTTTGGAAAAATGGGAAACAAAATTGTTTTTAAAATTCTCTGTGAAAAACAGCCTGTTGTATTAGAACAAACAGTAGCTTGTTCCTATCAGCCCTTTGTTTGACAAGTCTGGGCTGGATAGAAAGGTCACTTACGCCTCAAAGCATCAAATTAACATTTGAAGACATGAATTTTATAAATGGCTATTTGCTGCTGTTCTGTGAATGGCTAATGTAGTTCATAAAAACAGCAAGGAGAAAAACTCACTACTTGGTTGTAGCCAAGTTCCAAAAAAGACCAAAAAGCAGTAACAAAAACAGAAAAAAGAAAATGTAAAACTTTCTTCAGGTAAAATGAACACGTAAGTTTATGTCCATGTCGACACAAACTTCATCTTTTAACAGAAGAATTAAGAGTAGCTGAAATAATCAAACTTTTAACCAAACTATTTAATTACCCTAAGACGATTTCTTGATATATCATAAAGATCGCTAAATAAGATGCCTCCCTGTCACTCATGAATCTCCTGCCCCAGCAACAGTAATAAAAGAGAAACTCCTGGTTTACTTAATATTGCCTTGGTACAAACCATATTTCTCCTTTAAGTTCCTGTTTATTCTTTCAACACAAGCCTATGTTCTTATACATTTGAAATACAAGTCATCATTACTAACTTTAATCTTTGAATTAAATATTAGTTCATGATCAGAAATTACTTAGTTTCACTGAAATTATCAAGGTACAAGAAGTCAGAAATTCACTATACAAGTTTTTTAAGTCATTCATTTTCATTACAGCTCATAGCTAACACAAATGCTGGCATTGTTAAAAAGTTTCTATAAATAGTATGAAAAAATATGACTTAAATTTATGAAAGTAAAACTACTATAGCAGGAAATTTGAGAATTTTACTAATTTCTCAAAATATTACTGAAAATTTTGAGAAAATTTCTGAAATAAGGAGAAAAACCATTATCTAGTCAATGTAAGTGCCAAATAAAATCAACACATTCAATAGATACCTACACTCCAATGTTTATTGAAGCAGTAAGGGCCAAGACGTGAGCTAAACCTAAATTTCCACCGACTGACAAATAGATTAAAAAAAAAAACAAAAAAACAAAACAAAACAAAAAAAAAAAAAAACAGGTACAAGGGCATGATGAACTACTCTACTTCCACAAAAAAGAACAAAATCCCACCAGCTGTGATAGACAATATGACTAGAAATGAAAGTCATTAAGTGTTACTTTTTAAATCAAGCACAGAAAGACAAATACTGCTAATCTCACCCATATGTGGAATCTAAAAGTTGATCTCATAGAAGAGCATAGACTAGTGTTTTTTGTTGTTGTTGTTGTTTTTTGCATAGACTAATGTTTAACAGAGGTCAAGGAGAGTAGAAATGAGAAAGTGAAAAGGAGAGGTGGAGATCAATGGGAACTAAATTAAATAGGAGTAAGACATTCAGGTGCCACTTGGTGACAGGGTGACTACAGATGGCAATACAGTACTGATGCTTTCACCACAAAGATGTGATGTTTAAGGGTAAATATGTTTACCCTGATCTGAACATCATATAATGTATATTCATACTGAAACATCACATGGCACCCATAAATATTTAGTTTTGTGTCAATTAAAAAGTTTTAAAAACAAACTCCAAAACATGAAATTATTTTATATAATTAACTCATGTAGAAATGTTCTATGATGTCGTTCATAAAATCATGTCTCATTACTACTGTTTCCTCAAAACACTTTCCACCTCTCCTCTCAGCTTAACTCCTTATAATCTAGTTTCTATTCTAAATATTTTGTAAGGGTTCTGTTGGGGTTAATTAATGACCTCATAAACACACTATATCACCTGACACTATGCCATAAAAGCCTTCAACCTGGGTTTTGTTACAATTCCCTGGCATGAGTCTTCACTGACCTCTCAAAACACCTTTCAATTATCATTCATGCATCAAAATGATCCTTGAGTATGAGCTCCCTTCATGCAGACTTTCACTGTACAGTCCTGGAGATGTCATTCACACAAACGATGAAGTGATTGGTACCCAATGGAGCTGAGAAATGGAATGGCCCTGTCCTTGGTCTGGCCTCAAGCCTTAACACAGTTAAATTTCCCTTTCCTAAACAGTGTCTCCCAGTCTTCCACCATCAACCACAACACACACACACACACACACACACACACACACACAGTACACAGTTTGGACTGAATTTCAGTCTACATCTTCATCTCAATTTTCTTCTGAGCATCATCAGTCTTCCCTCATGAAATGTTTGCTGGTTATCTCTATATCAAGCACCAATACCACACTCTAATACCACACACTCCAGAGCTGGAAGTTGAATTCATCTCCTGGTCAAGTCTATACCACTTCCAGATGACGCTGATAATTCTTCCTGTCATCTTGGCTGCAGTGGATCTTGCCAAGAACTTCCCCTAAATTTTTTCTCCTTATCTGTTAACTTTGCTTTATTACCAATGCTGTCTCACAGATCTCTGCTCTCCCAACTCAAATAAATGGGCTCTGTGCCCCAATGGTCTTGCCCCTGAAGGTGGGACTATATTCTTCAGGAAACTTGCAGGCTTTGGAGTCTTGCCTCACAGCTCTTTCATTTTTCCTTTTTGTATTTTTACATTTGCTACTTCAAACTCAACTCCCCATATGTATAAGGTATGAGGAGACACACACACAGAGTCTATAGCAGCAGTGGCAAAGCTAGGGCATATACACAGCCCTCTCTGTTGGTGTAAGACCCAAGTGTATGAGTTGTTTTTTCCACACTAACACCTCAGTACTCAGGTTTAATTATAGTGTTGGCACTTTTATGATAAATAAGTGGGCTTTAGGTTGCAGTTTGGGTGCTGGGTCTTTAAAAGGTTCACCCTCATTGGTCCATAGTAAATCTAAAAAACTCAAAACTTGTCCTTGAGTCCCCCTATAATTATTACAATATGGTCATGTGAAGATCGATTCTGAATAATTATATATGCCATGTCACATGTACATATTTCCAATTAAAACACTATTGAATAATATGCCTGTTTCTAGGTTTTAAAAAATAAATTTCAATTAACTCTTCAGAGAAGAGCAAATGTGCCACAAAAACTAGGTATTCAGTAGATGTCTCAGAATAGGAACCTCAAAGAAATAGCAACACATAACTCTTCCTCTCACATATAAAAGGGTTTTGTTTTTAACTCAGGTCTTCCTCATATTTCAAAACATAAAATGTTTTGAAAGAGACAAAAGGTATAAGAAACTGATACATTCTTCTCTGGATTGTTGAGAATCTGTTTTGTAACAGTGGCAATTGCTGGAGTGGGAAATCAATATTTCCTCCTCCTCATCATGACTAATAGTCTGCAAAGGAAAGAGGAACAAGCCACAATTTAATAGCACAAAGCTACTCCAGAAAGTGAGAACAGCTCAGGATGGGCCTGAGGGAGGCCAGTGTAAGAGTAGGAACAACAGATATTATTACAATATGGAGATGGCGCCTAAAATATGACCATATTCTCAATCCTTCAAATATTTCTGGTAGCTCTATAATTTTTTAAGAAGTAAAATAGCCTAAAAGAGCCACCAAAACAGCTTTTACAACTAAGCAAAATTACCATAGTACTGAATACAGTTAGAAACCAAATGAGCAAAGTGATTGAATTCCAGTAGCATTCATGCCTTACTCCTTTTGATAACAACAAACGACATGTCCTGCGTTTCATTTACTCTCCCCCTGCAAAAAAGTTCTGTAACAGGCACTGCTAACTTAAACTGAGTCTTCTATGGTTCCATCCATAGTTAAACTTAGCAGGCTCATTCCTGCCTAGGAATCCTCATCCGGGTATACACAGGAATTAAGGAACTCATCTTGTATAGCTGGAAAAGGGGTTGACTTGTATGGAAAAGATGCTCTGTGTGTGTGTGTGTGTGTGTGTGTGTGTGTGTGTGTGTGTGTAATCAAATTCACTTTTATGGACTGGATCAGAAACAATCACTTTAAATATAAGAAGCTTGGCAATTCATAAGAAGTTAATTAAAATAGTTGATTATCAAAAACTGACACAAACACTGGAACATAAACACCAAAAAACTTAAGAAATATACACAGTTGAATCATTTTGCAACCTTTGTAGTGAAGGCATGAATCATCAATACAGGGCAAGTCTAGGGGAAAATTTTGATGAAAAGCAGAATGTTTTCTTGCTCTTAAAATGTGTCTCCACAGATTGCTTGTTAGTTCCAAGAGAAAAAAAATATCTAATTAGTGAAGAAATTATAAAACACTTTGAGTAATGATCACAATTAACACTACCAATAAGAGCAGACAGATTTCATGTGTATACAACTGTGGTACTCTAAGGAGGACACATTATAGAGGTAGTACCGTGGTGCCTTGGTTCATGAATGCTTTTGCTTCAGAATCATGGAATGACTTAAGTTTGTGAACTGAGGTACCACTGTATTTGAATAAAGAATATGTACCCTGAATCAAATCATGAGAAAAACATAAAAACCCCAAACATTAGAAGTACAGAGAAGTTTTACTCTTACTCTTTAAAATCTCAACCGTCATAAAAGGTGCAAAAAGTCTGTGGAAATGCTGCACAGGAAAGCAGTCTTAAAAAACATGAAAATTAAATGTAATACTTGATGTCCACTAGACTCTTTTATTGAAAGAGGAAAAATCCTATAAAGAATATTACTGCATTGACTGCCAAAGAACAGTGGATTATTATGGACAATGAGAGAAGTTGTGACTGCCTTAGGCTGCTGTCAGAAGCTTGCTTCCTGTGGGCAGCCAGCCCAGGCAGGGAGACACAGCCTGATCCACCCTGTGTGCCCACAGGCCATCATTGGAGACCCTCGCTTCCTTCAGGCAGCTAGTGGCCACAGAGAGAACCAGACAAACACACCCGTGTGCCTGCCACCGTGGGGAGAATCCCAGTGTAGACACACAGGCTGAGAGAAGCAGCCCAACTAACACACACCCCTGGCCTTAGTGTAGCTTCATGGCTCTGGAGAAGCCCACCCTGTGCCCTGCTACCTCCCTGGGAATCTGGGTTCAGAGAAACCCAGGTGCCTATCTCATGCCCCTATACCAGGGAGGGAGAGCAAACGTGGGAAGTGCCTTGGACCCTACAACCAGTTTGTTGGGAAGAACTCAGGAGAATGTCAAGACAAAGGCACAAAAAGCAATCTCAGACCTCCATCCCACATAAAACAAGCCTGGGAAATATAGTCATGCAAGAAAATGAAAGTCATACACCTGAAATCTCTGAAATATTGTAAAAGCAGTCAAATCCGAAATGTCTCAGGTAAAAGAAGAAATCAACATACTGAAACTGCTGAGTATATATCTAAAGAAGATAGATTAAAAAAAAAGAGGAGCATAGGAAAATGATAGAAGCCTTCAATGAATGATATAGGAAGGAATTACAATATATCAAAGAGATTCAAAAAGATATCCCAGAAGTTAAAAAGTCAATCAAAATGTGACAAAACCACTTGAAAGAGAGTAATGATAAGACTTTCAGATCTGGAAGACAGGATTGTAGCTAGTGATCATGAAAGGAAAAATCTCTTCAAGATAACAAGGAACCAGGAAATAACAATTCAACAACTGCAAGACAAGACAAAGAACAGAAATTTAAGACTGATAGGTGTCAGCGAAGAAGAAGGAGCTAACACAAATGAAATAAAACTACTATTTACTGAAATAATAGAAAATTTCCCAAACATGGGCAAAGGATCTGGCATACATATAAGTGAGGTATATAGAACTCCAACTAGCCATAACTAAAATAAATCTATACCCAGATATATAATAATCAAGATCCCAAAAACTGAGCACAAGACCAGAAGAATATTAAAAGCTGTTAGAGAAAAGAAACAGACCGCCTATAAAGGAAAACCAATCTATCATGGCAGACTTGTCCACATAAGCCATCAAGTCAGTAAGAGTTTGGCATGAAGTGCTTCAAATCCTGAAAGAAAACAACTTCCAACCCAGATTGATGTACCCTGAAAAACTATCTTTCCAAATTGATGGAAAAGTAAGATACTTCCAAGATAAAAAACAACTGAAGGAATTCATGACCACCAAACCAACCTCATGGAGAGTGCTGAAGGATATGGTTCTAGGAACAGAAGCAGAGAAAGATCACCAAGCAGAATAGACAACTGAATAAAGAGGAAAAGTGGAGGGCCAACAACATTATGGCAGAACCAACAGATGCCACTTGTAACCATTAATGTAGATGGTCTCAATTCACCAATAAAAGGAAACACAGGGAAAGTGGATCAAGAAATAAGACCCATCAATACACTGCATACAACAGACACATTTAACTCAGAAGGAAATTTACAGACTAAAAATCAAAGGAGAGAAAACAATTGTTCCACATGACAGGAGGCCAGAAAAAAAGTAAGGGTAACTTGCCCATCAATCACAGAATGGATAAAAACAATATGGTATTTTCATACAATGGCAAGTTTCCCGCCTATAAAGTAGGGTAATCTCAAGGTTCTGGTTGGTAAATGGATGCAACTGGAGATCATGCTCATAGTTGAAATGGTATGGACTTGTATGGGTGAATGCCCAGTTATCTCCCTAGCATAAAAAACAGAAGGAGTTAGTGGGATTCACAAAACACACAGATATTGTGAAAGTAACAGAGGAGGAAACACCTAAAAAGGGAACGCGGTAACCACTGTTAATTTCCTACTATCTTGTTGTGAATTCTTGTATTGTTTTCACAATTTTGTTAGGTTTGGTTTTATGCTGTTTTGTTAGATTTTATCTTGTCTGATGGTATGGACAACTATTTTGAGGATGATCAAACTCATGACCTTGCACTTGCCAGGCAGGCACTTACACCGCTAAGCTAAATCCCCAGCACAATTATACTATTGTAATCATTGTAGATTTCCTATTATCTTGTTTTGAAGTCCTATAATGATTTCATTCTTTTGATTGGTTTTCAGTTTTAATTTTATTGTGATGGTATGCAGTTATTTTCAAAAAAATGAGACATTATTATGATAGCCATTGTTGATTTCCAATTTCTTGTTTTGAAGTTTTATATCACTTGCATTGTTCTGTTCTGATTTGCTTTATTCCGTTTCTCTTTTATTCTCTTTAAAGTAAAAAAGAATGTGATAAATGCTAAATTTAGTGAAAAGGACAACTGTACTAACGCTGCTGTGGTATTGTAGGAGAATTATTCCTAAGGAACCCACTATTGAAGGGCCCAGAAAAAAAAAAAATGCCTGTGCAAAGCATGTGTGCACGTGTATACATACACAGACAGCAAAAGTTATCAAGTGATAAAGTAAAACGTTAATAGGAAAAGGGGGGGGGGAGTAAGCATTTTGCCACCTAATTTAGTAAATAGAGATTTTGTTTAAATGCTTAGTAGTAAAAGAAGACTTCACTGTACTATCATCTTATAACTCTATAAATCACACAATGGTCTTACTAACTGCCCTGCTGCAGTACAGAAGGGAACTATGTCACAGGTTTTATTTGCTGTTTTTGTTTTTGAGACAAGGTCTCACTATGTAGTTCAGGCTGGCCTAGACTAACTATGGAGCCTAGACTGGTCTTGAACTCTTGACAATCCTCCTGCCTCAGTCTCCCCAGGGCTGAGGTTACAAGCATGTACCATCACACCCTGCTTATGTAACAGGTTTTAAAGTCATCCAGGTTTCTATACCTACCTGTAAAAGAACAGATACTACATTCTATAAGACATGCTGCATAATAAGAGGACAGAAGAGAAAACCTGTCTACATTAGCCCAGTACTTAAGACCTCTACTCATCTATCCATTTGTAACTAGATAATATGCAAAGTTCAAACTTTCTAGTTTGGCACATGTGGCCTGCAGTCTAAGATAGCTCCACTCTTCAGATTTACCTACTGCCACATCCCCCACATACATACAGCCTCAATCCTATTTCTCAGGCTCGTGACTTTGCATGTTCTGTTCCTTCTGCCTACAATGCCCTGCTATGCTGGCCTTCTATTCCTAAGGCCCCCTTTTCTCATGCCTCCCAATTAAGCTTAAATGCTACTTCCTTTCTGAAGCCTTTCCTGTCTCCACAAAAGTTAGTCCTTATTCCTTTATACTCTGCTCCCCAAAGAATCATGTCAGTCTTACTAGGTTATCTGAGAATTTTTCTTTCTGTGAGTTTCTCCTTAACTAAAATATGAGGCATGTGTCTCCAAGTGATAGTGGTCTAGAAACCCAGTAACTTCCCAACACAGTACCTGTCACAATCACTGATTAGGTAACTAAATAAACTTCAAGCATAACAATGGCTAGATAACTAAAATAAATCTCTAGCACAGATTCAACAGTAAGCACTTACTTTGTGTCAAGTACTACTGTAAGTGTTTTACAAATATCAATTTACTTCTCCCAGTAGTCCTGAGGTGGAGGTCAGCTAGTGCTACATTTTGTCAAGTCTTTGAATATACTTTTTTTTCTCCATTTTTACCTTTCTAAAACGGGAGTATCTTACTTATATGCAGGTGTATCATAGTTAAATAGACAAACTTGTTCTTAGGATGCATAAAGCAATAGTGCTTCTTACAATCAATGGTCTCAGATTTCATCATGTAATATAGTTATCATCCCCGTATATTCCCTCATCTTTACAGATAAGAGACTGAGACACAAAGAGAATTTAACCTGCTGAAGGTTTACAGGAGAAAGGAGATTAGATCTCAAGCAGGCTGGCTCCAACACCCAAACTCTTAAACTACAATGTTACACCCTTTCTCCAACAATAGTGATGACTGGGCTATTAGTTCAAGAGATGGAACAATCCAAAAGTAAGTGTAGGGGATCCTGAGAAGGCACGAAAGGGGTGGGGGGGGGGTGTTTTAGGATCAGAAGCAGTGGCCTATAATGCGTTTGAGTGCCTGAGGAAAAGGCTGAGATTCTCTTTACCCAAATCTGTTCTCTCTGTGCATCCCTGGGGCAGCTTCTTTGTCACCCACCTCAGGAGACATTATCTCTGATAAGTGGTTACCTAGCCTCAGCACACACTCTCAAGCAGCTCCTTTTATTTTTAGAAAAATTGAGAGATTCTCCTTGTCTATCTCCTTCTGGCTTTGGTTCCTGTCTGTCCTCAGAGCCTTCACAGAAAGTTTTAAATCCTCTTCCTTATTTGTGGTAGTACTTATCCTTCAAGAACTAACACCCACAGGCCCTTCAAAACCTGACCAGCCATCAGCAGAAGTGACAGAGACAAAAGAGGTGGCTATATAAAAGCATAAGCAAATAGGAAAGAGGATGAAAAGAAAGGAATTAAGATGTTATATACACATACCAATTCCCCATAATGACTGTAAGTATTATGTACTATACACACGTACTAAAAAACATGAAAAATCAGAGGGGGCAGTTCATTTGTTAAGGATAAAGTAAAGGCTTTGAGGTTTAAAACGTCACGCTATATCAAAATTATTACCATTTTTCTTCCTTTTTAGGGGAGTGTTTAAGATCCAATTCAGGACTTAAGCAAGCAGGTCTACAACTGAGCTATACTCCCATCCTCCAAATTTTTAACAACAAAATGCTAAACTTTTAAACATATGATATCATTTTGGTTTCCAACAGTCTTGCTTTCATTAATAATTTTGGGCAAAAGGCTTATTGCCTTGTGTGATGTACACAATTCTGAATGCACAGACAGCCATTCCTATGACACTGGGCTATAGAGTTGGAATAAAGGAGAGTTTATCACATAGGTGATGCCATCTCATTGGTAGCAATGTCATTTCCTAAAGATTCTTCTTGTATTCTTCACTAGAAAAGAATTGCCTCAATCACAGTTTCTGATCATCTAAGATAAGAAGCTAGCACAAATGCATCATCTGTAATGGTTTCTTAAGTGACCAAGTTAGACTGTTCAATGTCCACCCCTTCACACTGCCCAGCCTCAGACCTGAGCAGTCTCCATTCCATGCAATTTAGCCTTAATGTACAATACAGATAATTCCTGATACCATGCTACAGTAATGGTTTCTCTGTGAGGCCTAAAAAAAAGCTATATATTTTAAAATACCAGGAGGTTCTATATAAAAAACATTTTAAAAACTTATTTAGGCTTAAAATGTGAAGGCAGAATTTCATTTTGCAAACTACAGGCTGATGTGGGCGTAAGAATGGAGATCAGTAGAAAAAAATTTAATCAAAAGCTTGTATGGTGAATATCTACACTGTAGATGTTTTCGGATTCCCTCTTAAAATTATTGTCTCTCATTCATTATTTGTAGTAACAAATGAAGTGACATGCTTTCTACTTATTAAAAAAAATAGTAACACATCCAAAAAACTTACTTAGGTAACCTTTTATTTCATCTGATGATGATCATAGACTCATCTTCTGGTGTAGGAATAAATCAGATGTCTACAACATAGTTTAAACTTTCAGATACACTGTAAGAAGGTGAGGCATTAGTATCATTTTGAAATCTTTAACCTGATCAACAATTTAGTCCTACATTACTATTACACAATTTGCTAATTTCCAAAGTGTGCACTGGCTTTTTGCATGATCATTTTCTAGTGCTGCTATTAATGTTCAGTGTGAAGCCTTACAGGCAAAAATGAAAGATTTTAAAAATTACTATTGCAAACAAAATTTTTGGTACGCGTAGATATACAAATAGGCAGGCATTTTGTTTTTCAGATAGTGACTTTGAGAACACAGCCTCAGGGCACTGTGCTCCAGAAAGGCTGCCTAGGAAATCTGTCCTGGGGGTTGAATTCATAGTACTCAGTGATGCAAGCATTTGGAGGCCTCTGGAACTACTAACCAAGAAGGCCTGGACACTGCTTTAGATGGCAGCATGCATTTGGTGCTGGTTTTACAGGCATGCAGAATGTAAGGCTCGTAGGCCCAGTAGAGGGTTTTGAAGGCCAAACACTGTGTCCGTGAAAGGGTGGTGCATTAAACTGTGAAAAGGAAGCCAAATGTGCAGCAGGGACCCCAGGAAACTGGAGATGTTGGGCTGCAATCAACAGCAATAGCATGAAGCTGAACTGTCCATGTTTGGAGTTCACATCTTTGTTAAGTGTGCACATGAATGACAGAAGGGGAATTTAATAGTGCCCTCCTAGTTTTCAGTCTCGCTTTGACCTGTTGGTTTCTATCCCCTTATTCCTACCTCTTGCAATGGAACTGTTTATCCTATATCACTGTATGTTGGAAATATTTAACTTTCTTGATGATTTTTACAGTGGCTCATAGCTACGAGTTTGCCTTAAGTCTCAGAGGAGACTTTTGACTTGGACCTTCAGCAATGCTGAAACTCGTAGGTGCTTGGCAGTTTTTAGACATGAACTAAATATATTTTGCATAAAGGAAGTACATGTACCTTTTGGGGGCCACATGCAGAATATTATGGTTTATAACTAGGTATTCCCCAAGAATCTCATGCATTCTCAGCAATAACTTCTGGAAGGTGATTCAATTATGGGGGCTTATAGCAGACTTGCTATTAGGAATATGGTCTGGTTGGCCTGGAAGGTTAATCTCTCTACTCCCTACTCCAATACTCTCTGCTCCAGCTACTTCCTTCCGTGTACTTCCTCCACGCCATAAGTAGCTTTCTCCCACCATGGCCCTAGGCCACAACATCCTTCCCTGCAGACAGCCAACTACAGACTGAAAATAAACCTCACTTCATTTAAATTATGTCAGATATTGTGTCTCAGTGACAAAGTAAGACACTAAAATAACCACATTTTGAATAGACTTTACAGATTTATAAAATACAGTAAATCTGACACACCAATTTTGTGAGATATGATTTTTTTTTTTTTTTGGTCTTTCTCCTTTTTATCGGTACCAGGGATCGAACTCACGACTGCCTGCTTGCAAGGCAGGTGCTTATGCCGCTGAGCTAAATCTCAGCCCCGATATGATGTTTTTAAAATAGAAGAAACTAAAGTTCAAAGATAGCAAATGATTAGCCCAAGTTCATACTTATGGAAAGGGGCACAGGAATTCAGTTAGTTCTAAGCCAGTTGCACACTTCACTCCAGCCCAGATCAAACCATCATCTATTACATATCCTCCTCAGTATAAATAATGCAAACAGAGGGTAAAGGTAGCATATTACCACTGTCCTAAAGGGCATACCCCTTATGACAGGTAAGCCTTTGCATATAGGCTTACACTGTATGGAAAAGTAAATGACACAGAGCATATGAAACAACCGAAAATCTAAACTTTTAATGTCAGTTAATTTAAATAGCAACATGTAACTATTAATTACCTTATGGAACAATGAAATTCCATACCAGGAAGACTGGAAGCAGAGCTTAAACTTAACATCTGAATGAGACTGCCTTGAGCACAAATGTAAATGAAAATAAATCTCAGAGACAGCCCAGGGCACAGCACTGGTTCATTTGATGGTTCATAAGAGCTGGAATGGATGTGGTATCATCTGTAGTAACATAACCCATAGATAATAGCAGAATTATCTTTCAATCTTTCTAAACTTCTCTGATCAGTAAAATCCAATGGGTGACCATAAAACTCAAGTCCTGTTGATAGTATCAATCACAAAGGGCAAAGAAGCCAATTGTGCTTTATAGGCTGCAGTGATTTTTCTGGTAGAAAAACATCACTCTGCATAGAAAATACTAAATTATAAATAGGAGCTGAAAGATGAGAAAAGCAAGGTGCCTTAATAAATTTCTTTAATAGCAACATTATATTCATGCCTTGAAGAATTTAGAAAAGTATTTCATCTTATCACAGTCTCCTTATTCTGTCCTCCTACCATCATCCATATGCCACAATCCTCCAAAACAGGTATTTGTTTCTATGTTTCCCCCATTCACCTAGCAAGGCAGTAAGAGATTTCATTTAAATAAAAATGATAGAAGGATTCACATCATTTTCTTTGTGTTAAACCACTGAGCCTTTCAAAACCCTTGCTTAGGTCTTAGGAACAAAAGCAGCCATCATTTTCAATGCCTTTAGCATAATGCACATATTCAAAGCACCTTACCGGTAACAGTAAAAGGACTGGACTGCAATCAAAGTCTGACATTGTGGTTCTGATTCTTTGCCTATTAGATTATATATATGAAAAAGTTATACTTCCACTTTCTGGTAACAAACAAAATCAAAACACATCAGTTACAAGAGTATTAAAAATATAAAAATGATAAATCTCACCACAAAATTTACAAGACCTATATACAGACCTACCACATACTTAAAAACTCTTGAAACTACTTAATTTCTCATTACCTCAGTTTTCTCATTTTTAAACTGATAGAATGATTAAATCATCTCTAAAATAACTTCAAGTTCTCAAACTACCATTCTGATATTTTTAACAGCCTCAAGTTCTTGGCGCTTTAATATGAAAAAATATCACGTCTGTTTACAAAACAAAACTGTAATAGGTACAATCTGCTTTGCATATACAAAGTTCAACAATCTACCCATTCTCCAACTATCAGTATACCGGTTATTTAAGTATAAAAAAAGAGATGTGTGCATTTTTAGCAACTAAAAACAAATTTTAACAATATAGGTTAAAAAGTACCTTCTTAAAGAGATAAGGACTCAATTATCTACACTGTAACAGCCTCAAGTGCCAAGCAGGGCACTTGTCCATGCTTTTATTTAGTTTTCAAACTCTACTCACACACTATAGTCACAGTTTTTTGGCCTTTGGGTTTGTGTATTTTATAACTATGAACCTATAACCTCTAAGAATAACTGCTATGGTTTCAGTGTCCCCTCTAACACTCGTGTTTAATTTAATACTGTAACTGTATTAAAAGGCAGAAACTAAGAGGTGATTAAGTCATGAAGGCTCCTCCCTTATGAACCGATTAATGTCCTCATCATGAGTGGGTTCATTATGACAGCATTATCTTAGTGCTACCACTTGTTTGCATGCACAAAGCCCTGAATCCAATCTACAGCACTGGGAAAGGGAAAACGATGTTCTCTTGCTATCTCCCTACAAACCAGTCTGTCTCTAATTCCCTTTACCACATTATAACACAGCAAGAAAATCCTCATCAAATGTGGGCCTTTTATCTTAGCGTTCTTAACCTCTAGACCCATGTGCCAAAAAAACTATTTTTATGATTTTCCCAGTCGGTGGTGTTTTCTTATAGCAGCAGAAATGAACTTACATAACATCTAAAGGAGGTATTGAAGAAGAATAGCTTTTCAAACTATGCAAAGTTTATTTGGTAATTTGTATTTATTTCTACTTGAAAAATCCATTTTGTAACTAAAGTGGGGTAATTTTAGTTAGCATTCAGTTGGGTACTTTCAGTTTAACAATCTCCTAAACCTGTTCAATATAACATATTGAAATGGAAACCCATAACAGAAATAGTCAGTGAACTGAGTTGTTTTCATTTCTAGAGCTAAAAGTTACAATCTAATTTCATAGTCCACAAAGTACATGCTAAAAAGGCTATACTCTATATCTCTTTTATCTCCTTTTGTCATCTTGCTCATTCATTCTCTCATTGGCCAATTTCTGATCCATGAGCTTTGTGTTTTTCTACTCTTAGCAGTTTATTTGTGTCAATCCATTTTTTCAGTTTGGTCTTGTCATCCAATAGTGTTGGCTGGCAAGACAGCTGGCTAGGGTTAGTGGGCCACTTGGGGCCAAAGAAAGGGGCACAGTTAAGCTAAAGCATTTCCCAGATGATGGATCTACAGACATCAAACACTTGCTTCATACCTCATGAGCATCAGTTTCTATAACCACTTGCCTATCAGGCATACTTGTGGGTCATTCATCATTTCTGAGAGAATCCCCCAAAAAGAGTTCTACTGCACCCCCAGAAGATCAGAGGTTCATAGTTTACAACAAACATATCATCAGCTAAGGGGAAGATCCAAAGAAGTGTAACAGAGGCTGTGGGAATATCTAAAATGTTTAAGCAGCTTTATAGTTTTTGAGAGTGGGGGTGATGCCATGTTTAGAGAGATTTTAGTACTATAGAAATCTCAGGGTTTACGAGAACTGACTCACCTTAAGAAGGCCTCAGTGAGTTACAAGTAGGACAGTATTGTGAGAACCAAACCCTTTGGCTCCTTTCTATCTATTCCTTTCCTTCCCAGAATTCAGATTAACTGAGCAACAAATGAATGTCTTTTGTTCTATAAACTCATGAGCAGAGAGAATACTTCCATCCAGCCCTTTTTGTTTCCAGTGATTCCTAGGGATCTGCATACTTCTTTACCACTCCACAAGAAAGGCTAGGCTGAGATTATGAACAATGATTTTGGTTTTACAGTTAAATCAGACTGCTGGTATTCTAAGCCCTGATAAGCTTATCTTGCACAATTTAAACTCACATTACCTTTCATTGGTAAATATTTTATGAAGGCTTTGGCCTTAAGTTCTCTGTTGTTTAAAGTAAATCAAAAGAAAAGAAAAAGGGAAAAACTTAAAGACCTAACTATTCCTTTTGATACAGAATGCAGCATATATAATGTATATAATACATTAAGTGACTAAAGTTGATACTAAAAGATGACTTCTGGTGATCAGTGATGCTATCGTTTAACTGGGACCTTTATGAACTATACAGAAATGTCATCCAGAACTTCTATGTGGCCACTTAAGTTTCATCTCAAAGCCATTCCAACCAACACATTCTTACAGAGGAATCAGTATCACTATCCTCTAATCTCGGCCACACATCAGATAATACTCTCCTTGTAACATATGAAGCACCTCTGACTCCGTATATTTCAGCTTCTAAACTAAGAAGGAAAAACCTACTTGAGCTCTCCTATTAACTTCTCCATATACCATGTTACTCCAGAAAAGTTTACCAAAATACAAAATTATGGATTCAAACCTGAGTTCAGGTCCCAACTCTAGCATGTTATCAGCATATCCTTGAGTAAGCAATAAACTTCCTAGAGACCACTTTCTTCAACTATAAAGTAAAGATCACCCCTTCCCCCATCTATTTCACAGTGCTCTTGTAAGGAGCAGGGATGAGATAAAATAATGCAGAGAAAGTTATCAGACAGTTCAAGGCACATAATGTCCAACATTTGTTGTAGTTTCTGTTATTGGGTCATTCTGGCTCCACCACTAGAAATGTTTGGTCCTGCTACCCTGTGTGCCATTTCCCGAGTTTTAAGAAAGTCTTATCTAGGACTAAGCCCAGCATTTCCAATCCAATCTAATCTTTATACTTAGGTGAACCAGCCACTTTCAGAAAAGTGCCAAGTAAAGCAATATTGTTTCATAATCACAAATTTATTAGGTGGTTCTACCACAAATATGTAACTAATTTTCAGAACAATAACATGGAAGTCTGGACATACGAGTACTACAAAATTCAAGGGTAATTTGAATCCCGATTGTAAATATATCAATAGAACCCTTTGCAGATAAAAAAATAACACTATAAAATACCACCTTTCTAACTTTCCATCCAATACACAAAACTACAGAGATTGGAACAGTGTCTTGATTTTAACAATATGTAAAAACACAATGGTCCATTATTTTAATTTTAATAAAATATTTAACTGGAAAATTATTGTTTTCCATTTCTATATTATTTTATTGTACATGTTGAATATCTTTAATCTGAAATGCATGGGATTTTTTTTATTTTCAATGTTTGAATATACATATCTTTGGGATAGACTTAATTGAAAATATGAACTTCTCTTGTGATTCATACACACACAGCTTGAAATAATTTTATGCTGTACTTTCAATGTTTCTGTTTTAACTATGAGCCAGCAAAGAGGGTCTAGTGTGGAATTTTCCCCTTGTGGTATCCTACAGCACTCAAAAAGTTTTGGATCTATAGGGAATAGGGAGATTGTGTTAGGTACATGTAGCAACTCTCCATAATGAATGTAATCATTATATACTGCTAATGCATACTACCAGAAAAGTTTTGGATTTTGTAGCATTCTAGATTTTCAGATTAGGGATGCACAACTATACATTGTTTTGTAAAGCTGCTCAAAATCTTTTAGAGAAGAAAAGCCTAAAAATAAGCAAAGAAATACTTAACAGACAACTAATCAAAAGGTAATGGGTGCACAGGGCTCTGAAGCATACACCACCTTATTCAATTTACCTCCCACGCATACTTAATGACCATAGAAAGTTCTTCCATATTGAGTTCCTCCACATGGGAGTTTGTTGTTCTTGTAACTATTACAAGGTATTTCCTCTTCCACGGAGACATGAATTTCCTACTACAAAATAATTTATCCTATGTTACTCAAAACAGTCAATAAACAGGAGTTAAAAATCCCTTTTCTTGGGGCTGGGAATTTAGCAGAGCGGCATAAGTGCCTGCCTTGAAAGCAGACAGTCGTGAGTTCAGTCCCCGGTACCGATTAAAAGGAAAAAGACAAAAAAAAAAGTCCTTTTTCTTCAGAGATGGGGGAAGCCATCAGTGGCAGAATATGTACCTAGCATGCATGGGGCCCTGGATTTGATCTCCACTACTGCAATAATAATAATACTAGGAAAACAAAAACATTTTAAAATTCTGAAACTTTGTGACTATTATTACAATACGTCAACTTGACTAGACTAAAAAACACCTAGCAGATTCACTCATCATCTGCCTTTTAAACTTTATTTAATGCCAGTTACATACATTTTGCATGACTCAGATCTACTTCTCTTGCTTCTCCTTTAATTCAATCCAGGATACAATCCTGTTGGATGGTGCCACCCACAATAAGAGTGGGTCTTCCCCCACTCAGCTTGCTGGCCTAAAGGCAGTTATCTCTGGAAACACGCCACAGACACTCAGAATGTTGAGGTACCCACATACTTTGCATAAAATTTCAAACCATCTACTGCAGTGACATTGATCCTTTTAGAGCTTCCAATGGTACAATCAGCCAGCTACAGAATGTGTGCTGTATGTTTGCCACCCTGATCCAATGAGCTCCACAGATTTACTAGGGATATGCTCAAAGGCTAATAGTCCATGTTCTTTCCTTGTGGGCTGGAATTAAATCAACAGTATGGTTACAGTGGCTATCACTGGCAGTTGTAGTGTGTTGGTTAATTTTCTAAAACTTGAATACACAATAAATACAAAATGAATATAAGTGTTGGTCTGAATGCCTCAATCTCCTCAAAATTTGTATGCTGAAATCCTCACCTCCAAGATGATGGTATTAGAAGGTGAACTTCTGGAAAGTAATTATGTCATTGGGTTGGCACTCCCTTGAATGAGATCAGTGCCCTTATTAAAAGAGGTAAAAATGCTTCTTCACTCTTCCTTCCCATATGAAGACAGAGCAAGAAGGAACTATCCTATGAATTAGAATACCTTCTATGAACTAACTGAACATTGAATCTGCTGGTACCAACGAGGATCTTGAATTTCTTAGCCTCTAGAACTGTGAGAAATAAACTGGTTGCTTACAGAGCATTCAGTCAAAGGTATTTTTCTTTTAGCAGTCAGAATGGATTAAAACAAAATTTCTTTCAAAATGTAAGTTAACTATACAAAAGTAATTTTAAAGGATTCTTATGAAAACAAGGCTGATCCTACCTAACATATTCTACTGGGGCAACAGAGCTACACTGTAGCTTTGGGCAAGCATTTCCATCAGGAGATTCTTTCTTCACTAACATCAAGACAATTGGGCAGCAGTATCTATTGTGTTCTCATCGTTTGTCATGCAAAATGTACGCGACTGGCATTAAATAAACTTTAAAAGGCAGATGATGAATCAGATCATACCTTTCTTCTACAGAGTCCTACTACAGACTTGTCCAAGAAGATGCAAGCATTCATTCTGTATTTGACAGAACTATAGAAGAATTGACAGTTGTTTGGGGGAAAACAAAGGAAAAAGGAAACCCCAAATCTAAGTACACACTCAAAACACTCAAGGCTCCTCTCCAAGTGCACAGGCCTCCCAGGGAGGATTTTACAGCAAGGATGATGGGCTGCTGCAGACAAGCAGGGAGGCAGATCAGTAGGCAGCTATACCAGGCCACCATTTCTTCTGCTACCCACATTTTACATTATTACTAGAATATCTTACATTTCCATAATGGCCTTTTTGCCTTGAGTCCTATCATGAGGGAACTAATTAAAATTATTTCCTTCTGGACAAAGCAAGGCACAGTGAGATTAAAACTAAGTGGATACAATCGTATAATTGGTGACTAAGCAAACTAAGTGAAATTCATACTTCATTCTTAAGTCAGTGTTCAATCAACCAACTATGCCTGTTAGATACTCTCTGAATTTAATGAGATGAACATAGTATTTGAATTCAGGGTAACAGAAAAGTTTACAACTTTTTATACTGCTAATATTATTCCACATAAAATATATTATTGTCCATGGGAAGATAGGACACAAGCCCTTTAAGTCTAGTAAGATGTACTTTAAAAGGAAAATGCACCACTTACCATTATACTATTCACAAACCTAGAACACACTTAAATTCTGTACAATTTCCAATTTGAGTGAAGCATTTGAATGCCTGGGTAATTTAGGGCTGTGTATGTTGCCTTATATCAAAAAGTGCCCTAAGTTTTTGTTGTTTTGTTTTTTCTTGATCTACAAGCCAACTTCACCTAAGCTTGGCTGCTACACATAGGTGAAATCACAGTGACCATCTCTAGAAGTAGAATGCTATTTCTCCTAAGGAAATGATCAAGCTCATTCAGAAAAAGGTTTTAACAAGTTCAAATAAGCCTAAGTCTTCCTCTCATGGAAAGCTACACCCTTTTCTATCAAAAGTTATAATACTCCTTCTATAAATCAGGGGCTCCTGAAACAGTTACTCAAAACCAGGTAACTTCAACAGCCACTTAAGTAGTGTTCCATTATTGGCCTGGCCAAGAAACAAAGTCTTCCATAAACCTGAATGGACCCTTTTTAGATTCTGTCTGCATTCTATGACTATCACTTACACCTCTCACTGCCCAAGATACATCTCCACAAGAGAGCCAATCAACTTGCATTCCTGACTCTGACTCATTTTAACTAAGAACCAGATAACTACCAAAACTCTTAGATGGGATTAAACAAACTGCTCTAAATAGTCAAGAAAAACATGTTTTTATAGTAAAATTAGCCATTATGAAAACAAGATATTTAGAGAAGGGAAAACAGATCTCTCAATTATGAGTCTTGCCTTTAGAGTGGAACAGCCATCTTCCAGTAATTTGCCAAAATGTTAAATCACAAAGTAAGAGAAAAGAAACTCATTATATATTCTCTAGGCCTTTTGGAAAACATGGAATTGTTCCTTTGGCCACATACTATATACATGAGCACCTACAGAAAGGGTGATATTGCAATTGTTGGCATTGTTATAAACAAGCAAGCAATGTGCTTGCCAAGAGAATTAATGTGTTTATTAGCATATTAAATGCTCTTAAGAGCCAAGGTAGCTTCCTGAAATGCACTGAGGAAAATTATCAGAAAATGGAGGATACCAAAGAGAAAGGGGCCAGCTTGCCCTGCCCAGAGAAACACACTTTGTGAGAACCAACAGAAAGAAGCCTGAGCTACTGGAACTTACGTCCCATGAATTCATGGCATAAGTAGGAGATATAGCACTACTGTTCAGTGCCAAATCAGCACTTAAAGTGTTCTAGGCCCTAGATCCAATACTCAGTACTGTTTAAAAATCAAAAGATGTTCTGAATTATAAGAATGCTTTCTTCCTAACTGAACAGCTATATGGCAACCTCTCCCCAGAGAAATGAATATAGTATTTAAGAGTATATTCTTATTGTACCCAGCTAATTGTGTCAGGTCTTTACTCTTCATAGTCAGTATTTTTCTTGCTGAAACATGTGAGGTATTCTGCAGATGTATACCCAAATGCCCAAATATTTATGAAATATTTATTTTGGCTTGAAGATCCTCTAAATCAACATAGGAAAAAGATGTATGAAAATAAATAAGAGGCAGTCTGTGGCATTCCAGTTAAATAAATTGCTTAAAGTACTCTGAAACATGCTTCTTGTAAAATGTCACCCAAAAAGGGTTACATGTTGTTTAAAGGCTGAGAAATCCGCAACAACCCAAAGCCATCATACTTAAAGGTAGTTATAACAGAAATGTATCAATCTCGGTGGTTTTCCACATAATTTTTCTTCCTTTTCATCTTTGTTTTACAAAATTACTCTGAAGAGCTTTTATGATTTCTTTCTGTGAAATGCAAATGGACTTTGGGTAAGAAAAACTGAGAATCTCATTATTCAACAAAAATCACTGCTCTAGAGGCTGGGGATATAGCTCAGCAGCAAAGTGCCCGCCTGGCAAGCACAAAGTTGTAAGTTCAACTCCATGTATCAAAAAACAACAACAACAACAACAACAACAACAAAAAAACCGTATTCTAGTGCCTCTTCGCTGTTAAAAATAACCTGTTTTTACTGTTTCTCTTGGAAAGAAAAACCAAAAAACAGCCCTTGAAATGACATTTTGATGTGCAAGTTACATTTACTTTTGCTTATACTTAATACTTAAAGTAGTACAAAACCCTGGCTTTTAAAAATGAAAAAGAAAATAGTGTTTCTCCTCACAAAGACTATCTATAATAAAAAGTACTAAGGAAGAACCATCCTGTCAGTCACACAGTGCGCCCCGCCCTCTCACTACCAGTCACACACACGTCCCACCCAGACCATGCTGTCAGTCTGCCGCTTTGGCCCGCGGCTGAACCGGTGGCGGCGCTAACGTCAGCTGGCGACCGCGGCCGCATTCCTAAACAGTGCAGACAGACCCACTGGTGGGAAGCTTCGAAAGCCCTCAGCTGTACACGGGAAAGCAAAGGCTTGGCTGACAGCCAGACTCCTGAGCTCAGCATTTTGTAATGCACTTCCTTTTTACTTAACAGCTTGCATAATATCCTTAACCCCTTCTTTACCTGCAGCACATCTTAAACCCTTTTTTCCTGGGTCCAAAATCAGAGCAAACTTCACGACCCAAGTCTCTCATAGAATTTTAATATATTTTCAAAGGATTTTAACATATTATGTCGCAACTTATTTTTCATAATAAAGAGGCAACTTAAATGTACATGCTTTCTTTAACCTACCCAACTTTTGCTCTTCAAAGCAACTGTTCATTTTCAAGCAAGAAAACATTAAAAAGACACACACACACACACACACACACACACACACACACAGAGGGGAATGAATCCAAGGCCTCACAAATGCTAAGCACACAAGGGCTACCACTGAGCTACACCCCTAGCCTTAAGGCAATGTCAAGACCCTTCATAATTCACAGAACTTATTTTTTAAAAGCTCCAAAACACAATGAGCACACAGTTCTCAGATACAGATATACAAATGGCAAATAAACACATGAAGAAATGTTCACCATCACTGGTCATTCAAGAAATGCAAATTAAAACACCACTGAAATTCCATCTCACTCCAGAAACAATGGCAGTTCCATTTGACCCAGCTATTCCACTTCTGGGCATATTCCCAGAACTGAAAACATCATACTGCAGTAATGTATGTGCACCCATGTTTATAGCACCACAATTTGTAATAACCAGATCTTGGATATAACCGAAATGCCTATCAATGGAGGAAAGGATAAAAAAGATGTGATATTTTTATACAATGGAGTACTACTCAACTATAAAGAATGATCACATTGAGATATTTATAAGTAAATAGATGCAACTCGAGACCATACTCATAAGTAAAATAAATCAAACTCGCATGTGTAAATACCATATAGTCTCTCTAGAATAAGAAATGGTAAGAACATAATATTGTTCATTATGAAGGTATCTTTTTAAACATTTCAGAGCCATTTGTATTACTCTGTGAACTGTTAGATCACCCCTCTGCCCTTTCTGCTAGTGATATCACTTTCTTACTACTTTGTAGGAGCTTTTGATGTTTTTAGGAAAGTAGCTTTTGTCTGTAAAAAATTTGCAGGATCTTTTAATACACTAAAGAAATTAGCCCTTTGAAATATGACTTATAAAAATATTTTTTTTGGTTTTGTGGTTTCTCCATATAGAAATTTAGAGATGTTTTTTATATAACTGACTTCTAAACATTCTATTCTTCATGACTTTGGTTATTATTGTATCAGAGATAGAATGCCATTTCATATAGTTTACAGCATAAAGTACTCCTGTTTTTTTGTATTAAATTATCCTATAAAAATGGGACTCAGGATTTTTAGGCTAAACATGTATTAATGATAATTTTAATATAGTACAAAGGAAGATACGTTTTCCATAGGTAAGATCTAGTGCTTGACTTGTGAAAGTCTGTTTATTTCAAATCAATCCTTTTTAAGACTTCTGAAATAAAGCACAGTATCATTAGGCTACATTTAAAGACACAGTTATTTGAAAATGCGTAACTATTCTTTTAAAAGCATAACTTCTACCAGCTATGGCAGGAGAGGAGGAGAGGAGGAGGAATGCAGGATGAAGAGGGAGGAGGGAGGGGGAGGGAGGAGGGAAGGGGACGAGGAAAAGTAGAAAAATAAACTAGTCCTTTCAACTAATTTTAGATAGCTATTAGGGATTACTATACAAGATCTCATGAAATTGTTATGTATTACATTTACAGAAAACATGTATTTCAAGTATATAAAAATACTTTCAATTTTTAATTATGCAACATTATCAGTTGCTGAAAACAGCAGAATCTACTGTTCTAAGATCTAATAAGGCTAGACAGCTGTTTCCAAAAAAAGACAGCAAAATGACACACCTCCAACCACAAAGTTTAAAGTACTATCCCTACATGTTAATGGGAGGGAAGGGAATGGGGAGGAGGAAACTGCCAAAGCAGGGAGAAGCCTTAAACCCTGAGATGCAGAAGATCCCCCTGCAGCGCAGCAGTGGACAGTCAGCTGAGTGAGAGAGCTGCGATTTCTTTCACAATAGCCCCACGTGCCAGAACTCACAGGAACAGACTGAATATCAAAAGAAAGCTTCTGAAGGCATTTTTCCTTGTGTGATAGATGCATGTACATATGCATTGTAAGATTCTGAAATACAACTCATTTATTATAAATAAAGGACTTTAATTTTCTAAATACGACATGGTGTTATATTTATGAAGTTACTAGTTGAAACCCTCAAACCATTTCCCTGTGGAAACTATGACAGAATAGAGTCTGAAAAGAAATAACTTTAAAGCTCTTGAACCTCCACCTCTAATCTACTCTTCTATTTATGTATTTCATAGAGCCCGCATCTTGGCCTCAAGAGAACGATGCCTACTGTTTCTGAATATGTCTTCTGACTTTGCTCACATTTTCCTGTTCTGGGAACATCCTTCCTACAACAGAAAATATCCACTAAAGTCTTTTTCATCTTTTAAGGCTCCAGCTCAGATGCTACCTCCTTCATAATTTCTCCCTCCTCTGAGGAATTAGCCCCTCACAACCTCACTAGCATCTCCATGATGACGATGATGATGGTGGTGGTGGTGGCGGTAGCAGGTGGCAACATTAAGGAGAAAAGTCATCAAAATGTTTAAAATTTTCTATTAGTAAAAGATGAAAGAAATTAAGCTAATACTATATTCAACTGGATCGGACATTATGAAGAAGAAAAATGTGAATTCTATTTTTATTTCTCATCTTTGGAAGGAGTTACCAGTTTTCTCACTACATTTTCAAGCACAAGTTTGTATCAACTTTCAAATTAAAGGGAATATGAAGGAATGAATATATATATATATATGTTAATATATTACAGAAACTAATTCCCACAGTAGGACAATTAATTTCAGGTTAAATTCAACTGCTCCCTCCCTCTTGTTTACTTGTTCCATTTGCTTTCTTTAACCTACCCAACTTTTGCTCATTTAGAACAAAAAAACTGTGACTGTGACTGTCAGTTCAGGGACCCCTGATACCTCTGGCCCTTTCTGTCACATCAGTTTCACCATGTCAGCTCCTGGTATTGAGGTGACAGAAGCTCAAAGGTTAGAGGAGACACATATCCAACAGTTCTCAAGTCAAACCGAAAATCAAAATCACCTGTGTAACTCAAGAAATATGTGTTCTTAGGACTTAACTTTCAGACTTTATGAAGCATTAGAACTGTGAATAGTGCCCCCAATCTATTTTGGGCAAGGGAGAGCTTCCATTGGTGACTAAAATGAAGAAAAGGGGCCAAGGACATAGCTCAGCATTAGAAGTACCTACCTGGCAAGCACCAAGTCATGAATTTGATCCCAGTACCAAACAAATGAAATAAAAAATAAATTAATAAAATGGTGAAAGACATCATTTAAGATGGAGCAGGGCCATTAAAACATCAAAAGGATACGGGAGGTGGTTAAATCCCTCTTCTATCCTGGGTTCACCTGCTCTCTCCTACATGCTCCCTGAGCCCCCTCAAAAGAAGTAGCAGCTACTGAAGAAAGAACAGTAATAGCAAGAACTGAAAAAGTAGTAACTGTATGTATTTTCTTTCTAAAGCACATCTGCCCTCCTCTACCATAAGGTCTGCTACCCACCAATAAACCCAAACCAAAGAGTAAACCAGAGATTAGAGTTCCCTTTGTGGGGTGGCAGCCACAGCTTAGAGAAACTGGAGACAATATGAACTTCAAGAGGGTGATGGCAGCCCTTTGAAGTTTTCCATCTGCCTCAATTATGCCGTTTTTTGCTTACACATAGAAGGAAAATAACATCGCCATTTGGAACAAGAAAAAGTGAAACTGGTTTAATAACTTAACTGGTAAATGTGAAAATGCGGGTAAAAGGGTTTTCTGTGGAATAAAAAAATACTTTTTTAAACTTCCCAGGATGGCTATTAAAGACAATAAAAGAAGTCACCTAATTCATCTGTGAGCATGGCTCATGAAAAATAACTCATGGCACAGCACTTGCCTAGCATTTGCAAAGCCATGATTTGATCCTCCATACCACAAAGAAAACAACAAAACCACTATACTCTTCAAGTGCTGAATTTCTAAATAATTTAATTTCCTCAATGTCAAAAATATCACTTAATTATCCAGAAACTCACAAGACTGCTGCGCTTCTGGAGTTCATCATTAAAAACTGCTTCCTTTAATGATAAAAATTAACACTGACCATGAGCTCTTTCAACTCCTATACAAAGAATCTAAACATGCATTATTTTGTACAATTCCAGAATCTTGTTTACATGCATGTTTTCCCTTTTGGTTTCATTCAAAAGATTCTCTTTTCTTTTGCAAGCGTGCTTTCTAAGACTCAGGACAAAATGTTCCTTTTTCCCTGGCTCCTTCTCTTCTAGTCTCCATGTGATGAAGCACCCATGCGAGAAATAAAGGAGTTATAGGGCTCATAGTAATCTTACTTGTTAGTCTGTGAAAGAGTAAAGCTGCTAGCTGCATATGAATTAGAATTTTCCCGTTTACAATGGCTGTCTGCTCTCTAGAGTAATGAGACTGACCACAAGTCACCTGGTTCAGAAACCTAGGCCATTTTCTACTTTAATTTTATTTTCCTAAATAAAATTGCATTAATAGCCCAAAAGAAGTTCTAAATTTAAAAACTCTAGATTTTTGGTAATATGAAAATCTTTTCCCCAGAAATTACTCAGTTTTTTAAAACTGCCTAGATACAATATGAGGACTAGAAAGTGTTGCCTCCAGAAAGATATTAAAGGCATGTGTCTTCAATTAAATCCAAAATCTTTTTTCCCTCTAAATCAGATGTATAACCTTGGCAAATGACATCATCTGTAAACAGCACATTAGTCTTAGTACAGTGCACAATTACCCCTTTAATTTTATCACAAGATCCACTGAAAGACATCTATTTTCCTCTACATTAACTAAATAATCAACATATAAGCAAAGATTTTCTATAATTTATTTGTATGCCCTCATGATCTACCTCATGGTGTATGTGAAATCATTATTGATTCATTTTCATAAGGCTCAATAATTTATATTGAAATATAAACTAGATATTATACCCAATAATGCAAATTATAAATGTTTCCATAAGGACAAACTAATGGTTATTATGGAAGTAGGCGAATTTCCTAAGTTGAGTGCAACTGGATACTTAACCCAGTAAGGTACAAAAACCTGATGTATTCAACAAAATTGAACTCCACTAGAATTCTAGTTTCTATTTTTTTTTTTTTTGTCTTTTTCCTTTTTTTATCAGTACCGGGGATCGAACTCACGACTGCCTGCTTGCAAGGCAGGCGCTTACACCGCTGAGCTAAATCCCCAGCCCTGAATTCCAGTTTCTATACATAGCCCTAGAACACTGTAATCTCGAAACTATACAATATGTTGTTCTCTGAAGAAAGTCATTGAAGATACTCCATTTGATAAACTTTTGGATATATCATTTCCTATATTTTCTTAATGATTAAAAAAAGTACAATCACATTGGAAAAGCTTTGAATTAAGTCTATACTTCAAGAAATAAAAGGCTTTACACAAACTGGAAGGAAAAAATCTAAAGTAAAATTCTAACTAATGAGTGATACACTATGGTGGCAAACTACTACATAGTTTATGGAACGTTTCACGAATTTGTGTCATCCTTTCACAGGGGGCCATGCTAATCTCCTCTGTATCGTTCCAATTTTAGTATATGTGCTGTTGAAGCGAGCATACTAGTTTAAAACATCTAATGTACCTAATAATTATAAAATTCAAGCATTTATTAATACATCCAAAAAATCATTCTCACCAGTGAACCCTTCTTTCCTTCATTGTAATATAACTGGTTTTATAGTCATTTTTTCTAAGCCTCATAAATAAGGTCTTTCAAAGTATACGCTCTACAGTTGCTTGACACTACACTAAACAGCATCCCATGAACAGAAATACCTACCCATTACTACCTATGTGCAAGATATACATATTATACATAAAGGATATTTTAAGAGTCATAGAATAAAGGAAATAACTCCTTGGATTTTGTCTCATTTTATGACTTTAATGGTATTTTTCCAACCCTTTTACCCTGAGAGTTGGGGTGAAGAGGACAGCAGGTAATTGTGTACATGCACATGTAAGCATATCATATGCATGTACTTTGGAGAAGGCAATTAGGAAAAAGGACAAAAGAAATGGCAGCAGGGAGAGATGAGCTTGGTCTTGCCAACTAATAAAATGCTTGGCTTAGTGGGACATTTGGGTACTTGATATTATTTTGAAACATACTTATTACTAAAGCTTTTTTGTAATACATCAAACTAACAGAAGGTCATAAATTGATGCAAGTAAGAAAATTCTATTACAAAGCACAAGTTACAAAGTACAAAATATGTAAATATAGTCTGCTCTCATCTCCAACTTTGACATGGAATATTTCTGATGTAGCATTATTTCATTAAAACTTAACGCTAATTTCATTTGTTTTTTCAATCTTGGGTATTGAACCTAGGGCCTTGCATGTGTTAGGCAAGCCCTCTGCCACTGAGCAACATATCTCTCAAGCTCTACAATTTTTTTACTAGTTATATGGGAGATGAATTCTATTTGCATTTTAAACTTACCTCAACAATATCTATACATCCGTTATTTTCTAAATGATACATTTTGATCAATAATATTCCTAAAAATTACTGAAATAACACCTCAGTGTATTTCTCCTTATGAATTTTAAACTTTATCTCCCCTCAGAATACTATCAAAAATTAATGTCTTTCGAAAAACTTTGGCATATACTTGTACCTCTGGAAAAAGATTGGAAACCTTAACTTTAAAAGGTTTCCTCCTCATCTTTAGCACCAAACACAGTGCAGGTTAGTCTGGAAATCATGGAGACACTGTGGCTGCAAAGAGAAGAAAAAGTAAGGTTGGGATACGGTTTGATATTCGTAGGACCACTACAGCAAATGCTAACTGCAACACGGTATAAGATAGCCCAAGGACACTAGCACCAGTAATCCTAAAACATTAAAAAAAAAAAAAAAAAAAAAAAAACAGAATTTTCAAGAAAGCAGTTAATAACTTAATGAAAAAATTGAGTTTAAAGCTTCAAACTAAGACAAACTACACACAACCATCATTAAAAGTGAATTATCAATAGGAGCCCAGGACTACTGGCGGGGTCCCTCATCAGTAAAATGCAAAGAAAGCAAAATATTCTAGCTGGCTGCCACAAGAGACTCTACTTGCCTTTGTCCTGGTCTACACTTTCATTAACCACTTGGTATGGACTCAAAGACTTGATCAGTAAGATCATGCAGACAATCACCCAAGGAGCTTGCTAATGCCCAGGGCAATTGGATAATTCAGAACAAATCAGCAGGCCAAAATTAACTCACAAAAAGGATAAATATAAAGCACTCCTCAGAGGCTAAAAACATAAGCTCTTCACCTGTGAGACCCTGCTTTTGAGCAATTCATACCACAGATGTTACAGATAGATGCTGTGCAAAATAAATAAATAAATAAATAAACAACAACAAAAAATTAACCTGGTCTATGTAATGAAACTAGTTTTAAAACTTTCTAAGCACGTCCTATATTGGTTGCATCCCAGCCACAGTAGCGTGTGTTTTTCTGAGGATCCTATTTAAAAGTGACAATGAAAAATTAGAACATTTCAGGAAAGCCAGCATGATTGTGAAAAGCCTGAAATCCCACCACAGAAGGACTGACAGAACTTCAGGACCATAACCTGAAAAATAATTAACATAACACTGTTCAGCATCTGAAGATTTTTTGATGTAAAATAAAACAAATATAGAGTTAGGCCAATAAGAGGGCAAGACCTCTATATAATGCAAAAAAACTACCTAACGTAATTCATTTAAAACTACCCTGAAAACCAAGGGTTCTTCCCCCTTTCTTCAGCGATGCAAAGCAAAGACTGAACAAACTAGACAAATGGTGATCAAACTACCTGTCAAAGATACTTCATAGTTTTATACTCATTAAGGTCATCAAAAGCTACTTTCAACTCTGGATTCCATAAACCCTGAAGATCATCTATAGCAAATGAGTGTACAGGTGAAAAAAAAAAAGTTAGACTAGATATGGCCTTGTTCAGGTATCAACATGAAGTTGCAAAAGCCACCACCAGGAGCCATCTTTGGGGCTCCCAGATCCATACTCTGTATTCTGTTCCATCTTTGCATTGCAAATATCAAACCACTTTGTTCCTCATTAACAGGAGAATATTCTCTCATAAGCATTTCTCTGGACTTGGGAAAGAATGTGAGAACTAGCATCTTTATTTATTCAAGACAAAATTTTGCAGTTGTTCTTCAGTTTCTTTCTGTAATGTCCAAAGTTGTTCAAATAGCCCAAGTAACACGAGGTTTTAATATATGCTGAGACCATGTTTCCCCACTAAGGTCAGTTCTGAGGGCTTTGTAAGCAGAGAACTCCAGCCTCCCCAGGGCCACAGGGAGCATCAAACCTGATGCCCAAATCAGTAAATGCTGCCAGATCCTGGAAAAGGTAAAGGAAGATCTTACAGTTCCTCTGTCTCAAACAGAGATAGACTCTGCACTGCTATTACGGTTTATAGCTAGATGCCTATCCAAAGCCCCATGGGCCTTCTGAAAGGCAACTAGAAAATGGAGACCTGATGCTCATCAGTGAAGGTATTCACCACTGAGTTGATATCTAAAGATGATGTTGAGAGGTGAGGTCTGGCTAGAGGAGGTGGTCAGTGAGGCCTGGATATATTTCTCTCTCTCTTCCCATGGTGTCTTACTGCTTCCCATCACCATACCAGGAGCTGTTTTCTCTCTGCCATGAGGCCTTGCCTTGGAGTCAGCCAACATGGACTGGAACCTCTACAAACTGTGAGCCTCTCTTAGGTTGTGGATGTCAGGTATTTTGTCTCAGCACGGAGTAAATAACTAAGACAATTGAGAAAGAAAGAGAAGTTTCAGTATATGAGAGAAACTGAAGTGTAGTGCCAGTAATTTTCTGAAATCAATCATAGGCAAGAATATATACACACAAATTTAATGTTTTCAATCAAAGTACTGCCTGCCTAGAGTTGCTCAGGAAGACTGATGTAAGAATGCCCCAGTCAACAACTGGAACACAGTAAAGGAGTGGGACTTAAGTTCATTCCAGAGTGACACTGCAGAGAGTGTCATTCTCTGAAAAGCTAGATATGTTGTTTTGTAACCAAAACTTAAAGGGCAGCAAGAGGGACTAAGGAAGCCTTTAATAATTGTACAAATGATGGCTAGATTCTCTTTCTGTGCTAGGTAACTGAATCAAACTCCTGTATTTCCTCTCAAAATCTGTATTCACCAGATTTGGCCCACTGAGACCATTTCCTACACCTGAGTTCGTGAGCTAAAAGGGCAACGAAGACTTCATCTCCAGAAGCCAGCTTGGCTGTCACTGATGGGCTCTCTATGTTACTGACTGTGGAGGTTCCTACTATAGAGCTGAACATTCATAGCACATTCATAGCACACGCAGACCCCAGAAACAAACTGTCATTTTTCTCCTGAAATGAAGATTTATAGTCTCAAGTGCCATTTCCCAGGGCATTCCACTGACTCCCTAATATAACACTGAAGGTGAAATTGATTAAGATCAAATTTGTTAGTGGTAAACTCAACATATTTAAAGTCAACAAAAATTATTTTGATTACTGCTTTATACAAATACATTTTTGTAAAATATTTAAGGCATACCTTACAATCAACATAATATTTCTTTTATATGATATTCACTTTGAACCAATTTAATGGCTTTTAGATTGAGCTTAAATCAATATCCAAAAGTAGTAAATAATCTGCTTACTTTGTAACACAAACAAACTTGGGGAGACTGACAAAAAGACTAAAAGGTTTTCATTTCAGATCTCCTTACTATTTACTATTAGGACAATCATGGGTGATAATTATTCTCTCTGAAAGGTACCAGAAATAATTTTTAAGCTCTATAAAGGCAAACAAATTTATGAGTATTATAATACTCATAAGAGATTATCTCCAGTTCAACAATTTAATTAGAAATAACTGGATGTTATTTTTAAAACAGATCATTTTAACTATTCATGGTCTCCTCCAAAGCTTGTATTTTCTTCCTATATTTATTAAGCGACAAGTAAAAAGTTAAACCAAAAATTTGTATTTTAGAATGTCTAGTTTATGCATATCCCCTTCCCCTTTGTTCTTTAAATTACTTAGACCAGGCAAACTGGACTTAGGTTTAACATTATATAATGCCACTTTTAAAAACTCTGACACTAACACTGTCATCTGACATTTGTACAGCATTTTGCAAGCTAAATAAAGTATTCCATTCAGATTAATAAAAATGTTTCTCACAATAAACCAGTCAGGTCAAGAGAGTTTTAAGTGTTACTGAGATAATTTTATAAACAAGAAAGATGAAGATAATGGAGATAAGTCATATAGATAGCCCCTGACTTAAGATGGTTCAGCTTAATGATTTTTCAACTTTACAATGGTGCAAAAGTCACTATAGAAGCTATATTTCAACTCTTTATCTTTTCGGAGGAAAACAGTATATAATGCAATACTGGTGTCGGGGGCAAATGCAGGAACCAGCAATGAGCTCCAGCTCCCTGTCAGTCGCACAATCACAACTGTGAACAAGTAGCACTCTGCAGTCTACTGCACTGCTAAGCTGTGATGTCTGGTAGGTGTATTAAATGCA